CTCCGGGCCGGGTGCCTCGGCCTCCGCTCCTGGGCGCCCGGGCGCGGCGCTGGGCGCTGGGGCGCTGGGCGTCTGCTCTTGTTTACCAACAGCCGAAGAATCCGTGGGAATTTGTGGTTGGTGGAGATTACACTCACTGTTGAAGGTGCGGTTTATTTTACTAGCTGCCCCCAGAAGCCATACATCTATGTGCATACATCCATAGACACGCATGTACCTAGGTACACACACACGTACACACACCTAGGTGTACATACTCTTCATTTCGGAAGCGCAGTTTGTGTGTATTTGGACCTGCTGGGAAGTCAAACTTGATGTGCTGCCTTCGGATATTTTGAAAAACCTCCAAGTAAAGCAGAACCATCTCCGCTGCTACATCTATGTTTCAACTACACAGTCAAGATAAAACGCTCAAATCACACACAACTGATTTTTTTTCTCCTTGTTTTAAAGGAGGGAAAGAAACGAAAAAGGGAAACGGGACATTTCCCCGTGAGAGGGACCTCTGCGGGCTCCACGGAATGCCCGTACTAGTGAGAACGCGCGTCTACTACTGCGGCCATGCCTGTGCTCCCCGCCGCGCTGGTGACAGTCAACCTCTGTTTCTACTGAGGCTTGCCAGACTCGATGCATACTGCCTGTAAATAAGTGTAAAAATCTCTGGTGTGGCGTTAACAAGCTAGTGAAGAGATTATGATTATATGTGATATCGTAGACTAGAGTTTAAAGTCGTAAAGTTTCAAAGAGATTATCTTTCTTAGCCTCTTGGGGACTTCTGTGGAAACAAAGATAACTTCCAGAAGACCTTATTTGGATGAATTTTAAATGTTCGGAATTTCCCTTCAAAGTTTTTCTAATTGTCATCATTCCATTGCATTCTTTTTGTAGTATTTATTTCATTTTTATCATGAGGGCATTTTCAGGAATACACATTAGTGATAATTCATGTGTGTTTTAAGGTTGACCTTAACGTGGAATACATCTAAACAGAACAAAAGCTTAGCATGTCCCAGGTACTTTCACTTAATAAACACTGAAACAGAAGCTGGGCAAGTATTATTGGGCTTTATTTCTGCAGGTTTTCTGTGTGTTAGTCCATCACTGTCATCTTTTAGTTTTTCCTGATTGATACTTTTGAAGAAAAATCGGGAGAATTTTCTTTTTCACATTTGACTCTGAACATAGAAGACCTGGGATGGTTGTGAGTAAGAGTGAGCAGTAGACAGACATTCAGTAGAAGATACTCCTGCTTGTTTTATCCTTTCTACTTGAGCAGCTAAGGTTGGATTCAGGAGCTGCTGGGTAAATTTGTTCTTATTCAGCTCCTTTCTAGTAGCACTGGCCAGTGACGTGCAAAACAGCTCCCATGTCTCTGAAGAGGAGACTGATCTATCCCTGCTCTTTGGTGATGTTTGGCTTCACCTAGGAATACACGTTCTTTCTTGTGTCTTTCTAAGAGAGAATTCCATTTGCTCCTTTCCAGCTTCAAAAAATACAGGTAACATTTCTGGTTTCCACGAAAGCTTAGTATTTGTTATTTGATAGTACTTTTGATTCATTATCTGATCCATTCAAATATGTCTATGTACATTGAAACTTTCCTGGGAATGCCAGGAAAAATGAGCTTCGAGCTTAAGTTCCAAATCATGTAAACTCAGTTGCTAGGTAGGTAAATTTGGGAATTATGGTTTGGAAGCCCCCAAATAGATTAAGACCAGGACAGAGGTAAATTGTGGGAGGATGGAATTGTATCCGGAATAAATAATCAATTAACCGATTTAGTATTTAGTAATTTAGTACTCCTCTGTTCCCAAACACAGACAAATGAGTTTTTCTTCTTTTCCCCCTCTTTAAACAAATAAAATATATTTTACACATCCTCTAAATAGATTTTTTTAAAAAAATCAGGCTTTTCAGAGGCTTGTTAATATGTGAAAACAATTCCTACAAAGAAATTCCTTCTCCTGATATGTTGTACCTCTTTTTGAAAACTGTTTTGATATCAACTCTTAACAGCTTGGAATAAATAACTTATTCCAACTATAGGGAACATTATTTGCCATGTTGAAAATGAACTCAAGAATTGTATATGATATTACTTAAATACTACAGCTTTGGGGGGTTTGGGAAAATGATTGTTTCTCAGTATTCTTTATGAAGTATTTTTGGGATATCTTCAGATAGGTAGAGTCAGATAATTGAGTCTGAAATTTTGGGTCAGATGGATTGAGATTCCTCTTCTGTAATACGTGGCTCATACCACTTTTAGTAGTTAACAGTATGAGGTCAAAGACTCACTCACACAGTTCTGGAATCACCATTTCCGGCTAATGCTTTGGATGGAACTCTCTGAGATTCAGCTTTCTTTTCCCCACTTTCCCTGGATTCACAATCCAAATGCTTTGTTCTGCCTTGGAGCAATGACTTAGTAGTGAGGAATGACCTAGCTTATTACCTGTACACTACTCCTGCACAGATTGCTAGTCCTCTGCACTATCATCATTGGTGACATGGAGGAGTTTTTATAAATATAAGCGAATTTCCTGTTATTTCAACAAAATTATCACTGTGAACAGTAGCCAGCAGTCATGTGTCCTACACTGAAATTTGAAATACAAGGCCTCCATACTTACAGATTGGGTTTGAAAGCTGCTTGTTCTTTCTGTTCTTTCCTTACTGTTAGGAAGTGGTACCTGTCCCCTATTCATATGTGGAGTTTTAACCCCAGTGTGGTGGTAAGTTAGGAGGTAGGCCCTTAGAAGGTACACAAGTTTGGATGAGGTCATGAGGGTGGGGTCCTCATGATGGATTGGTGTCCCAGAGCTGGCTTAGTCTGTCCCCCTCCCTTTCCCTCCCCCTCCCCCATGATATAACAAGAAGGTAGCTGGGTCATTAATCATATCAAGCCATTTCAGAAGACTCAGCCCTCACATACACAAGTGTTAGCACACAGGAAAACCAAAAACTCATGGCAACCTTAGGTTGGAGAATCTGAAAAACAGTCCTTCTGACTGTGGGACATAATTTGCATCTTTGCATAGTCTTATAGGCCCAATGTTGTGTGTGTGTGTGTGTGTGTGTGTGTGTGTGTTTTGTTGTTGGTGGTGCTGGGGCTTGAACTCTGGGCCTGGGCGCTGTCCCTCAGCTCTTCAGCTCTAGGTGAGCGCTCTACCACTTGAGCCACAGAGTTACTTCTGATTTTTCTGAGTGGTTTATTGGAGATAAGAGTCTCACCGAGTTTCCTGCCTGGGCTGGCTTTGAACCTCAATCCTCAGATCTCAGCCTCCTGAGTAGGTAGGATTACAGGCATGAGCCACTGATATCCTGCTAATATTAGGTGGTGCTGGTCCTGGGGCTTGAACACAGGGGCTGGGCACTGTCCCAGAGCTTTTTGTCTCAAGACTAGCACTCTCCCACTTTGAGCCATGGCACCACTTCTGGTTTTCTGGTGGTTAATTGGAGGGAGATAAGAGTCTCAAGGACTTTCTTGTCCCAGTTGGCTTTGAGCTGTAATCCTCAGATCTCCTCAGTAGCTAGGACTACAGGCATGAGCCACCAATGCCTGGCTGTGATTATTTTTTTAAGCAATGAGACTGGTTGGATCCATCTCTGTATTTTCTTTCCTTTCCTTTTTTAAAATATAATTTTATTATTATTATTTTGTTTACATGGTACTAAGGAATTGAATCCAGGGCTTCATGAATGCTAGATAAACACTCTGCCACGCAGCCCTTCTATTTTTCAATAACACAAATCGCCAAAGAAATCCAAATCTCCTTTTTTAACTTAAATTTGTTTGAGTATCTGTAACAGACAACAGAAGTGTTTTAAAAAATCACTATTTAGGGCTGGGAAGGTGGCTCAGTGGTAGAGCGCTTGCCTTGCGTGCCTGAGGCCCTGGGTTCGATTCCTCAGCACCACATAAGCAAAAAGAAAAAAAAAGCCGGAAGTGGCGCTGTGGCTCAAGTGGTAGAGTACTAGCCTTGAGCTGAAGAGCTGAGGGACAGTGCCCAGGCCCCAGGACTGGACCAAAGAAAAAAAATAAAAATCACTATATCCTGAAAATAGGTAGCCAAATTCAAAGGGTCAGTAATTTGTTAAACAGCACATTTTTTTTGGGGGCCTGAACTCTGGGCCTGGGCGCTGTCCCTCAGCTCTTCAGCTCAAGGCTAGCGCTCTACCACTTGAGCCACAGCACCACTTCCGACTTTTTTCTTTTTGCTTATGTGGTGCTGAGGAATCGAACCCAGGGCCTCTGGCATGCAAGGCAAGCACTCTACCACTGAGCCACCTTCTCAGCCCTAAACAGCACATTTTTACAGCCCAGTGGAGGTGGGATGCTCAGAAAGAGCAGCCCCTGAAATCCAGAGCTGGGGGAAATAGCAGGAACTGGAGGGCAGCTGGACAGACGCTCTCACTGGCATGAAGGAAGATTGCACAGTCTGGCAGAGGAGAAGGCGACAGTGGAAAGTCACGCTCAGGCTCTGAGAGACATGAGCCCAGGAGTGGAAAGGCTCTGGAAACTGGGATTGGCAGAGGTTTGTGGGTACACAGGGGCATAAATTTGCAAGAGATTAATTGTACCAGGAATTATCTTGGCAACTGTCCTGAATCAGCTTCTGATTCTTTTCATCTCTCAGTTAAACATCTATTTTAATCCATCCACAGCTTTTTATACATAGCTTTTGACAGTTAATAGAAAAATCTAGCAGGAAGGAAAATATCTTGCAATGCAAGAAAAGGAAATAGTAGCTGGGTACAGTGGCTCATACCTGTAATGCTTAGCTATTTAGGAGGTAGATTGGGAGAATTGCAGTTCTAGCCCAGCAAAGGCAAAAAGTTTCTGAAGCACCCAACTCAATAGGAAACGGTGGGTTCCTACAATGGGAAGTGTAAATAATAGGATCACAACCCAGGCAAACAAAAAGTGAGACCCTATCTCAAAAATAATGAGAACAAAAAGGTCTGGTAGGGTGGCTTAAATGGTAGAAAACCTTTTTAGCACACATAGTTTTCATATATTTTAAAAACTAAACTTTGTACTTTGAGATAACTATAGATTCACATAAGAAACAATTCAGAGATGCCTGTCCCCTTCATTCATTGTAGTGTGTGTGTGTGTGTGTGTGTGTGTGTGTGTGTGTGTGTGTGTGTGTGTGTGTGTGTGTTGGAGTGAAATATTGTAACCAGGCTGCTCTCTTGTAGTCATACTCGCTTCTCTTCCACCCTTAGACCCTGGTTATCCCTGGCAACCACTGATCTGTCTCCCCTCTCCCCTCCTTTTTTTTTCCTGGTCCTGGGGCTTGGACTCAGGGCCTGAGACTCTTTGTGCTCAAGGCTAGCTAGCATTCTGCCACTTGAGCT